ATATATATATATATATATATATATATATATCTTTAGCCTATACACTTTGGAGAGTTTGACCGTACCTTGTGAGATGTGTTGATCTTCATTTGCATTTCATATTGATTGATTGTTGAGACTCTCTGTCATTGATGTCGGTATATAAGGGTTCCACCATAACTTGGTTTCCTGTGTGTAAAATGATTTAGAATTAGCAAAGGAGGAGAAGAGAGTGTGATTACAATTCAATATGACGAATTTGGCTTGATGCTTGAGGGCAAGCATCATTCAAGTGTGGGGTGGTTTGATTAGTCGAGAAACGTGCTTGCATTAATTGTCTAATATTATGATTGTGCGCATTTAATTCCTCGCGTTTATACATTTTTTGACCTATTTGATGTTTTGAATGATTCGTGTGCCTTGATGAGGTTTTTAGTGTTTTTCAGCATTTTTGAGGTTACATCTAGGGCACGATGATTTTGGAGGCATGAACAAGAGTGAAAAAGGCTGAATCGCAGAGTACGGGGGAGCCCCGTACTGAACCAACATGCCCCGTATGACTAACAGGCCCAAGCACATGGTAAAGCCCATGCAACTCACGTGATTTGGCATATTAATATATGTGGGCTGCAATTATTAATATTGAAGAGGGCCTGGGTGGACTTAGTCAAACGAATAAAAAATCAAGCATTGGAGGATATACAAGGAAAGAGACGTGGCATGGCAGAGGAAGGGATATAAATTGGGGAGACTTTGGCTTGAAAGGGGAGACTTTTATTATTCCACATAACCTGGCGGCTGGAACAGAGCGGGTGGACAGAGGGCTGGAGCAGATCGCAAGACGGAGACATTGGAAATTAGAGAAGAATTTCATTTTCTTTTCTTTTTCTTTCTCGTGTAATTAAATTTATGAACATGTTATTGAACGCTATGCGTGAGTAGTTCTTTTATTCTAGTTTCAGGGAAGTCGAACCCTACAATTGATGATGTTTGATTAATTTTTATGGTTGATAATTTCAATATCTTGTGAAATTATTTGTGTTGTTTTGAATAATTAACCATGATGCGTTGAGTCTTATTTAGATTGATCACCTAGATTAGGCTTTTCATATCTATAGTTGAATTAGACCTTCAATCCGTAATTGTTGTTGTGTTTAATTCATAAGAGGCTACCGGAAGACGGTAACTACCGGGGATAACACGGCCTATTTAAGTGAACGAACGCGGTTGAGTTCACTACCTAGTCTAGCCTATTTTTCTAATTCGTAAAGCGGCTAATTGTATTAAATCTTGAAAACGTTTTTCTGGACTGTACAAGAAGTCAGGTTTAATCGTAGAGCGTCTCGCGGGTAAATTAAAAATAAGAAAAAATTCGGGTAACAGACCGTGTCGTTACCTAGGGATAGTAATTCCATGAGATAGCGAAATTTGATACTAAAATTTATTAGATAAGTCAGTCGAGGGTGTAGACAGAACCGTGGACTAGAAGCTTCCCTATTGATTTGAATAATCATTTTTATTTGCTGCATTTGATTTCATTTTGCGTTCCATAATTCATAATTCTAGTCGTTAGTTAATTCATACCAAACCCCCCTTTTTAGTATTATTTCCGTGATTTCAATTAAAGAAAAATAATTGCAATTAAATTTCACACTCCCTGTTGGTTCGACCCTTGCTCACTACTACTACTAGTTGATAGAAGTCGGTTAAGAAAAATTATTATTATAATTTTACCGCGTCGCGACGCGCGGTCAATATCCTATTTGAAATGCTAATCATGGATAACACATATGAATATAATTTAATCCGTATAGCACAATCCACCCACTACATATTAATTTTATCCAGTTCTATCACTTCAGACAAACTAGGCCTTACAAAAAACCAATATGGGATAATGATCGTCTTTTACTTAAAATAAAAAGATGAAGAAGACTACATCTATAACTTTTATAAATAATAATAATGACATTATATTACAACAAATTTTATAATAAAATAATAATTGAGTATTATACGAGGAACAATAATAAGTAAAATTGTTATTTTTCTTATATCGAGGAATAAATATATATACTAAAATTAAATTTATATTACTATAAACGTGTTAGCGAGGTAATGTGTTAATTAATTTACGAGCTAGCGCTAACAGGCTCAGGTTTAACGTCCCGACAGAAAAATGACACTGATGATAAGAGGTGGAAAATAAATGATCTAACACTATTATTTTTTAGGCCTTAACGGCCAAGCCCTATGAAAATGTCTCATTTAATATCCCTGTATCGTGCATCGCACGAGCTACTTGACGGACAAACTCTGTGAAAATGACTCATTTAATATCCATGTCCCGTGCATCGCATGGGCTATGTACTAGTATAAAATGGTTAGTAGAAGTATTTTATTAAGTGCTTACGTAGATTTTTTTTTGGGATATTCGTATGACTTATGTGTATGACTAGCCTATTAATAATTATTTATGACTCCATTCAAATTGGAGAATTATATTCGTATAATATCACTTCTAACCAGCCACCGTTGCTGCTTCCCAGTACCCAACACACGAGCCCATCGCAAAACCAAGACAAAAATTTAGAGCAGGGCATGAGAGCTAAGGCTCTCATATTTGAAAACTCCATTCAAATTCGAAATGCTAAAAAGATCTAACAAGACGAACTTCGATCCCATATATGAGCCCCACGAAGCCTAGGGGTGGCAATCAGGTAGGCTGGTTCATGACCCCGCCCGTTGGGCCTCAAAAGCTAGATATAGGTCCCGCATCATTTTTGGGCAGTGTCTCGAGTCTCGATTGGAGACTATGTATACTTCGTAGGGTTCGAGACCTACAAAGAGTGAGAGGGTATTGGTGATAAATCGTTAGTATGGGAATATCGAGCATCCCTAATCGTGAGACCGATTCTGCGATAGGAGATTGTTTTCGAACATCTAGTCGATACTTCCTAAATCGTATACGAGGTGTTGCTCGTGTCGGCAGGGAAGGAGGCATTGTCAGCGGTATCGTACGGAGCCATGGGCTCTGTAGGTACCGGTATTTGGGATATAGTGATATTGATTGTTAGCCCGATTGTATGGGATTCCGTGGAGGCTTGTTTAACAGGGATGCACGAATCGTTTCGAAGTAGTAATCGAGTTTTCAGGTGCGACCCGGGCATGAGACTGAAGCTCGACGTTTCGAATGAACCCTTTCTGGTTAGTCTGTCGTGGTATGCTATCAAGACACGAAAGGACCGGATACGGTCTTGTGTATTGATAGATGAGTAGGGTGTGATAAATTCCTTACCATGGGGAGATACGCTGGTAATGATGGTTATCTCGCGATAATCCTAAAGGTGCCATGCGAGGTGGCTGGTACGGATAGAGGTGGAGTATGCCGTTGTTCTGGTTACTGCCACACGTACTCAGTCCTATTTTGATTCTCG